GTGAATTGGTATTCAATTTTGAAAGTGGTATTTGTAACTATACTCCATGGCCTATCTCGGCTTGACTGTCTAACATTTAAATGTCAATCACTTAGTACTTAAATGACAAGTGACCTAGTTTTAATGTAAGCACTTCATATTAATATATCATCAAGATTGGTATATAAATATTATTCTATTGTATGCAAAAACTATAAATCCCCTTCCTGACATCTGGACCTTCTTATACCCTCAGTGACCTGGCCTATCCCCTCCTGGGGCACACCCCAGCACCCACACACCTTGTGTGAATCACTGTAACCAACAAGGAACACATACATTGAGATAGGACAAGAGGTTGCGCTTGACTGATTATTCAGTGCATGTATATATATATAGTTATGTACTGACACGTTTTTAAGTCTTTACACTTAAGCTGTACAATATTTTCTGATTTTAAAATTTGATTTTTTTCCAAGAATTGAAATGTATAATTCATGTAGTTTACTAAGATTTTAATGTGCAGATTAAGGCTGATTTCACAAGTTTTCTGAAATTATTTTTAAGAATATGCCTGTCAAAAGCATTACCTCTAGTTATATCTGGTTAATTTTGTGAATCTGTGAATATAAATAGTTTTCTGACATCTTTAAGTCAGCTGGAGTAAATAAATTCTTATATATAATTCATGTGCACATAATGGAAAACACACCTGTACATACACACATGCTGGAATGTGCTTAAAGGTGTGGTTGTTAGCTATACCTGTACAGGTATGGGGGACTGGGGAATATCTTTGTTGTGTGTGCATTGTGCGAGTGTGTGCTGTTTACACATATACTGGGTAGCCTGTGCTTGTTTACAAAAGATTTTCTATGTACTGAGTCGTACATTGTAGTACGAGGCCAAAGGTAGGCGTTGTGCGCTGGTTGACTCAGACCATGTGTTTAGTTGTGTGACTTGACCGAGTCATGCTCCAAATTACAGCTGACTTGTAAACTCTTTCACTGCACTTCCTACTTCCATTTCAACCTGGAGAGTTTTGTTTTCAATTTATATACGTGGGCGAATCTTCAACTTTTATTCAGATAAAAAGCTAGAACTTATCATTTGAACTGACACTGTTCAATAGGGTTTTCACAGCCCAATACGTATACTTGCATATGAAGTGACAAAATCAACTGAAATGGATCCTGTTATGATTTTACCTAGCTCCGTGGATTTACAGCAGTCAAAGGTCTATCCACAAGGTAAACCATTTCTTATTATAGGGCAATACATGTATGTGTTGGGTCAATGAAATATTGAAGTCACAAACATTCCCCTCAATTTATTTTAAAAAATGAGATCGTGACCATTATAACTAAATAAGAAGAACCTCAAAAGATATCTTTTTAGAAAAATAAATTTATAACTTTTTCATTGATTTTGATATAAATTTCACACTTTAGAAAAAAAATGTTTGAAAACAACGGAATATGAGAAATTGCTACCTGTAGTTGTATGACAAGAAGAACATGAGAAATTATTATCTGTAGTTGTATGACAAGGGGAGCATGTTGGGTATTTTATAGCAAATAAGCCTCTTCCCATGAATAAGCCCTTTTGCCGATTTTGTTTCTTTCAGCTTTACAGTCACATTAGAATCAATGGTTGCGTAACTTAGTGAATATTTCAAAGGAGTTCTCTTAAATCATCTGTTTATACTATGTCACACTGCTGAGAGAATCAAATGTAATGCCAATAGAACCAGCAAATAGTATTCTACTTTCATTTTGTTAGTCAAATATAGAAACAAGTGTGTTTTAACTTTTGGCTTATTTTAACTGATTGAAACATATATACGGTGTAAGTTTTTATGTGTCATTTTGGTTGGGGTCTTAACCTGTCATGATTTGACATGAGTAACAGACTAATGGTTCCTAAAATTCAATATTATTTCTATTTTTTGGTTATTGTTTTATAACATCATGAACATGAAGGTAATCATCAACTAATCGTGATCTTTTACTTGTCGAAATAATCGTTCATAGAGTGCATCTATGATCAAAGTAAGGTGCGGCAATTATCCAAGGGCACGTTCACTTATGCACAGGAGGATGCTTGCAAATTAGCCCCCTCTCCAGTATCTTCTCACTAGCACTGGGTCTTCCTTTCGATACAATATGATTGTTTGATGACACGTGAAGAATATAGTTTAAGGTGATGCATGATGATGTCATAGACAGTGTAATGATGTCAAGATTTAAAGATGTATGTGAATTAAATGTTTTGTCTTAGAAATGTGACATTCATATCACTCATTGTTCTGTTCTCATAGATTTGATGAATTCCTATGTATATTTAATTTTCACTGTTATAAGTGAACCTGAATTGCGCTCAGTTTAGAATTACACTTTTAAGATTGCCAGTAAAATGCTGGCTGCATGGTAATAGAGGAAAATTAATGATGCAAGATGTTATCACTGTATTTGTCATTATCACATCATTGTTTGAAAGACAGTTTCCACTGATTTATATATATATATAGCCACAGAACAATACCTGTTGAAAATTTAGAGCAACTTGCTCATTATTTCTGGGCAAGATGAATACACATATACATGGCACATATCACATACAATACAACACATGTGCATATCATATGTCTTCTGTGTAACATGTTTCATGATAATTGTGTTGTGTTGAACTTTTGTCAGTTGAGATATCTGGTGAGAACATGAGGACATATTAATGAAACTATTTACATTTCATCCTTTTAGATGTACTTAGCAACAGCTAAACGGTCTCGATGGCTGCCGCTACTAAAACACAATGTCCAAAAAATGGTACAATAGCATAGGTGAAAAACAAATGCTTTATAATTAGTCTTAAATTTGCTTCTCCAAAAGATTTTTTTTCCAAACTGTTGGATGTTAGCCAAGAAAGGAAAGATATTTTAGACAGTGAATTTTTTTCTGGATAAAGTAGTTTTATACTGCAGCAGACAAAGTGTGCAGACATGTATGTAGCTGTTTTCCCTAAATTAAGTTTGGTGGGTTTTTATTTTGTCAAGGATTGCTGTTGTTGGCTTGTTTGTAAAGTTGAGTGTTGTCTGTAGGTCTGGTGTATCTTGCTATCTGGTCTGAATGTGAAGGAGAAGCTTTTGGAATTCTTCCGAGAGAGGAAGCAGAATTGACTGGATGATGTTGGCAGGAGGTTTTCCTCAATAATTCCAGAGGCTTCTCTTCAGGGAAATAGTCCAGCTTGGCTTCTGGGCGCTAGTTTTAGTTTGAATTAAGCCCTGCATGAATATTTAAATGAGATGTCGGAGGATTGTTGTATAAAAGCAGGTTGTTGACAAGGCTGGTTGTTATGGAAATACATGCAGAGACAGTGATGGTGTGTAAGGGTGAAGGTATTCTCTCTATCCTGCTCACAAAATAGATAGAGTTGGGTGAGAGTCATGTTATCAGTAACCATTGTGGTAGGATAACTTTTTTTTATTTACTGTTGGTACCACTGCTGTCACCAACCATAAATCATTACATCGCTTACAAAAAAATAAACAAAACAAAAAAATAATAGTCAAATTCAAAATGTTTCCAAAGAATGAAATAAATTTTAACTTATCGATTATCATTATTCTGGCAAAATGTATTTGATTTAAAATAATTTTGATCTGAAATGATTTGTTGGAATGAAAAAAAATCATGGCATAATTTTGATCTTGTCCTCTGTTTTTTTTACAATTTTCTGTATTGTACATTTATATGTGTATTTTACATATGAATTTATATGTGTATTGTACATGTGTATTGATATGTGTATTTTACATGTGTATTTATGTGTTTTGTACATGTGTATTTATATGTGTATTTTACATGTGTATTGTACATGTGTATTTATATGCATACATATGTTATAAGTATGCATTTTTATGTAATATAAATGTGTATGTTAGTGTGTTTGTTATATGTATAAGTGTTTGTTGTGTGTATGTGTTCGTGTGTTTGTTATATGTGTGTTTGTGGTGTGTATGTGTTAGTGTGCATGTGTATGTTATATGTATGTGTATATGTTGTTTTTTTATGTTAAATGTATCAGTGTTTGTGTTGTAAGTATGTGTGTATGTGTGTATGTGTGTTTATGTTATATATATGTGTTGTGTGTTTATGTGTCCTTGTGTATGTTGTAAGTATGTGTGTATGTGTATATGTTGTTTTTTATGTTAAATGTATCAGTGTTTGTGTTGTAAGTATGTGTGTTTATGATATATGTATGTGTTGTGTATTTATGTGTCCTATTGTATGTTGTAAGTATGTGTGTATATGTTAGTGTGCTTGTGTATGTTTTATGTATGTGTGTATGTTTTTTTTATGTTAAATGTATGTGTGTTTGTGTTGTGAGTATGTGTGTATGTGTTAGTTTTTTTTATGTTAAATGTGTTTGTGTTGCAAGTATGTGTGTTTATGTTATATGTATGTGTGTTTATGTTATATGTATGTGTGTTTATGTTATATGCATGTGTTGTGTGTTATGATATATGTATGTCTGTTTATGTTATATGTATGTGTGTTTATGTTATATGTATGTGTTGTGTGTTGTTATATGTATGTGTGTTTATGTTATATGTATGTGTTGTGTGTTTATGTTATATGTATGTGTGTTTATGTTATATGTATGTGTGTTTATGTTATATGTATGTGTTGTGTGTTATGTTATATGTGTGTTTATGTTATATGTATGTGTTGTGTGTTATGTTATATGTATGTGTGTTTATGTTATATGTATGTGTTGTGTGTTATGTTATATGTATGTGTGTTTATGTTATATGTATTGTTGTTTATGTTATATGTATGTGTGTTTATGTTATATGTATGTGTTGTGTGTTATGTTATATGTATGTGTGTTTATGTTATATGTATGTGTTGTGTGTTTATGTGTCCTTGTGATCAGCATTAGCTTAGTATTGATCAGCATTGTATTGATTTGATGAAATTTTAGAAGGTTAACAGTAATTTTCATTTTGTTACCAACAGATCTGCAGAACAATTACAGTCACATTTACCATCATCACCGCCAGCCTGTACTTCACCACCAGCCAATGCAGAACGCGGCCCAGCTATGCGCAGCCGCTGTAGAAATGATCTCGGAGGACTCGGGCAGAAAGGTTAGTGCTCACCTTCCCAGCACGCGCATGCATCACCGATCCACATGTACAGAACAAGGCAAAATCAAACTCGAGTTGGTGCATGCTGAACACAGGGAAAGCCCCATTGATTTTGTGTTGTTCTGCACTAATATATGACTGGTGATCATGCCCGGAATGGGTTTTGTTCATGTCCTACTAAGGCACGTTCACATTGATTTTGTGTTTCGGATACAGAATGATGTAAAGTCACATTGATTCGTTTGCAGGCAAACTCACATTGAATTTGTGAATTTTTTTGGGTTTTTTTTTTCAATTTCTTTATTCAAATTCATGCAAACTCTGACTGTTTCATATTTGATATGGATTGATATTGTATTGGTTTGCATGTGAAGTCAGATTGATCTCGTGTTTATTTGCAGTGAAAGTCGTATTGGTTCAGCTTTGGTTTAGTTGTTTTGTATGCGGCCAAATCGGTTAGCATGGTGCCTATTCACAAACGTAGTGTAAAATAGATTTTTGTGTAGTGTGCAAGGGGAGATCAATTTAGTTGGAAGTTTTGTAATGATATCTAGTTAAGATTGTTTCTACGGTAGGAAAATGCTAGTCCTCCGATGCACGCACCATTCTTTGGGTGCTTCCTCTGTGGCGTAGGTCTGATGGTCTGATCAGTTTATTGGAAGAGCCCAAATTGAATCAGCGTTATCATTTTTATGCTAATTTCAGACTACAGTTTCATTGTGAAAGCCCGAAATAGCTTTGAGACTTGTTCTCAAAGAATAACTCTTTCGTTTGAATGCTTAATTATTCCATTGAAACTTAAGATATTTCTACTGGGGACTCTATGATTGTTTCAAAAGATCTTTGTATAGTGTCCTTTGTCTGGAGTTTACCTACTATTATATTTTGGTGTCATAAAAAAAGCAACACTCAAGCCCCTCCTATTTCTGGAAACTCACACCTGGAAAGTTACAAAGAGGCATTTGAAAAGTACTGGAGAAGTGCTTAAATTTCGGGTGAATATCTATGAAACTTGTATGCAAAAGCAATTGTGGAATTACTCATTCAATGAAAATGGGCAAAAGTGAGTTTTTAAATAATGAATGAAAAACAGTTGTAGACTTGAAGAATGATTTCAAGTTTATACATTAATGGTAGGCAAAGTTGAATAGATGTTGCATCTTGAAAATATGAAATGATGATCTTCAAAGTACCCAGTAGTAATGCAAAGCACATTAGACAAAAGTTTATTTTTAACTGTAGAATTTTTTCCCAGGGTTAGAAATACCGATGCTGGGCTACACATATTTTCTGATTGTCAGTGGATAATCCATTCCATCGAACATGTTTAGTTATATTGGTTATGAATGTTGTTCATTGATAGCAGCAAGAAGGAAAATAAACAAACAAAAATGTAAAAAAATGTTCACAATATCACTGTCTCCCTATCAGGTACTTCTCTTTTAGTGAGATTTTCCAATCGTTGTCAAAGATCAGTATTGTAAGGATACCTGTAAGAAGCAATATTTGTTGCTTTTTAATGTGATTTTTTGTGCACTCATTTTTATGAACACAATTCTGACGATATTGATGTATTTTTTATGTATAGTGCGTACAAACGCCCATTGATTTTGCCTCTAGGGCGAACCATATAAATTATAAGTTAGTACCATTAGACTAGGACAAGTGAAGCAAATGTTTGGTTTACAGTTAGGCAGATCTAATATGATTCTTTGTCGTGGAAATAATTTGCTTTTTGATATAGCAAAAACAGGAAGGAAAAATGAAATTGTTATTGTATTTTTCAGTTTGGATCATAATGTTTATTTTCTGCATTTGAATAAAAGTATATCAGACTTTTGCGTTCTCCTGAGTGGGTCTAAGTACAATTCATTATACACTTTCTTCTCATGATAGAGTTTTGTCGTCAGTTCAAGTACATAGAATTAAACATATGTGTCGGAGGGTTCACAAAGGAAATGTCTGATTAATGTCATGCTGGTTGGGTCTTTGCCATAGGAAGTTACATACATGCTGACAGCCCTTTTGGCACCATAATCATGCTCATGGCCCTATGTGCATCAAATAGCCTCAATTTGAAAAAATGAGGATATGACTTCCCCTGTCAGTCTGGAGAAAAATTGAAGCTTAATTAGCTCACCAATAGTTCATGTACATGTGAAAAAAAAAGGAAGAAAAATTTTGTTTTTTTCCCCCTTTCCCCAGCTACCCTATTCCTGTATGTTTCTGGTATATGTAATATATTACATGCTATTTCTGTTGTTAATCAAGTGAAAGCTATTGTGTTTATTTATATATTTTTATTTATCTACCTTTATGAATCATTTTGGTTGCCAGCTGGTATTGAAATGTCAGAAGAATTTACCTGCAAGCATTTTTGAAGCATTACTTCAGGGTAGTTGTCAGTTTGGCAGCAGACCTTTTTTGTATTGAATATTCAATCAGTCCTTTGTTTCCCTTGTCATTTTGTTTTGACAAGACAAAACAAGATCTTGATCAGGAGACATTTTCTGTCACATGGTTATGTTATAAAAAGTCCTCATCATTTTGCCTTTACAGTTTTAATTTGTGAAATTCAGAGATGATCTTTGTGTAAATACGGATTATTTTAATACATTATCAATTTCATAGAAGTTTTTAAAATTAATTTTTTCAAAAAAATAAAGGTTTGAGATATATTCTCTATCAGCAATATTCAAACTTTACCGATTCTAAGAACAATTTAATTTCCAGTCAATATGTAGTTATTAGGAAGATCATGTCAGAGGCGTTTTGTGATTGAACTTGTTGGGCTCCATGTTTTTTTTCCCTTTTTTGTCTGTGGCGTTAAGTAATTTACTGTCCATTATGCTTTGGTTCGGAGATCTGGCTGAGATTGGATGACATTGCATCATGTGATGTGGGCAGATCGGCCATTATTGTCACAGGACTTGGCTCATGAGCCCCGTTGAAATTCAAGATAGAAAAAGTAAATATTGCAGTGTTGCCAGTCGACAGAGCCTGTGCTTGGCATCAATAATGTAGCTTAGCTTCCACCACGGGAGACTTTTACACTAAATATTGATTTCACTTGTGCTCATCAAAACGTTGCAATAGTGTATAGTTGTCTCCCTTTGTGGAAATAATTAGAAACCATTTTTAGTCTCTGACATTTATGAAATATATGAGAAAATCCATACAAATTTGAGCTAAAAACCCAAGACGGATCATTCAAATTTATTACAGTTCTTTTTCTACTTATTATTGTTATAGCTTTAAATTCTTTATTAAGAAGAGATTGCCAAGAGAATAGAATATGGAAATTCAGCTACAAATAGCCCCTGCATAACCAGATGTGAAATCATGTAACAGAAGAAGCGTTAAATGAAGATGTCACCCTCCCAGATCTGTTGGGATTGTCGGTGATGGCTCTGAGTAAATTATGGATGAGAAATGATTATTTAGGTGCTCTTGGTGCAGGAATCAACACACCATCAGACTAGCAATGGTGCTCTAGCTAGCTAGCACACTGTCAAATGGTGATGCATGAGATATATGGAGCTTTGTTTAAAAATTTAGGTCTTCTCCCTAAACAATTGTCTTTAAAATTTGTGAAAAGATGGGGGAAAATGTCACTGTTAGAACTGTAGTACCAATAATTTCGATGAAAATATTTGTTTCTTTTAGATAATTCATAGATTGAAAAATGTGTTTATTGAAAAAAAATCATAGAGTTCACAATATTGTAGGTAAGATGTAGAAAGATCACTGTTAATCTTGAGAATTGTTGGTTACGTGGTAATTTTCAAAGTGCTCCTTCAACAGATAAATGACTAGTGGATGTTTGAATTTAAATTTCATAACAAACATCAATTTGACTTTCTGTGTAAATTTTGCAATTCTGACATGAGAAACTAAGGGGAATATTGCTATTTTCTGTTTTGCTGGAAGCTAATTTTACTTTGGAAATCAGTAACTGTTTCTAGGTCATTAATTCTGCTGGTTGTAACCTGGTTTAAGTCTTCACTGGAATCTATAGACACAAGACACAAAGGGAGATAAAAGTTTAAAGTTTGCAGTGCCTTTCACAAAACATTGTACAGTTTTCCACATTTGTAAAAGATCTTGAAAAGCCACGGTTATTCTTCCAGAAACGCTTTGAAACTTGGCCCTAATTGGAATCCACCCTTCTGTGCTTTACACAGATAAATAGCTGTTACCAGGCATCCATTGGGGCTCCTAAGGGAAATGGTATTATAATTATAAAATCATAAATGCTCTACAAGTCTACCCCCCAGAAAATTCATGTTTTTTAGGGGGGGGGGGGGAAATCATTGTGTAAATATTTTTATTGATTTTCTCATTTGTTATAATTGTGTAAATATTTACCCCTTTTGTGGCCCCTGAGAGTGTTGGAGTGCTGGAGGCCACCAAGCCTTGTTTGAAGGATAGAGAGAGGGAGAGAGAGAATATTGTATGTGGGAAGGATCAATATTGGGACTCACAAGCAGAGATGTGCCTAGCTGTTCACCACAGCGGCCAAGTCTGCCTGTACAGACCTAACAACACACAGCCAGCCTCAGCCAGCTGCCCGATTTGTTGACCAAAACTATGTGGGTTTTCTGATAGGGAAGTGGATAGAAAATTGACTTTCAAATAAAGAACCCAGAGCATATATTTCTGCCTAGCACACAAAGTTTATTTATTTGATGTGTTTCTACCCAAGCGATGAAAACTTGTGGAGGTCGCGCAGGCCTAGTCAGTATTCATTTAGGTGTATTTCATGCCCAGCCTCGGGCCTAGCAGTGTATATACTGTACATGATAATTTTCTCACGAAAAAAGATTCCTTTGTGCTATATGGTCTCCAGGCTATCTTTTCTGTTGTTTGTGTGTGTGTGTGTGTGTGTGTGTGTGTGTGTGTGTGTGTGTGTGTGTGTGTGCAACTTCATAATTAAAACAGTGTTAATAATACAAGTATTCTTTTGAAAGCTAACCAATATTATTTATATCTCAGGATTTTTTTTTTCAAGATAAATATTACGATCATTAAATGGTTAACATATGAATGCCTAGTCCTCATAATTCAGTTGTTTTTTTTTGTTGTTGTTGTTTGTTTTGCATTCGTTGAAATAATTTTTCAGCATGAATTAAAGACAACCTAGCTATCTGCAGACCTATGTAATTAGACTCAGATTAATTAAGTTGGCGGTGTTTGGTTTTGAGGTCCTTTGTGTGCTTAGAATATTAGAAATTCTGGCTGGCAGCAGTATTTCTGTCAACAAACATGAGACCATACTATTGGAATGAGCCGGAAATACCAAGTAGATTCTGTCTCTTTTAAATATATTGGGCTTTCAGTGCTTCAATTCACTCTGGTTACTGAACTGCGAACATCATAAAGAGAATATCCAGGCTTCATCAACAGCTATTATTAGCTATCTAGAGTACTGTATAACATGATTTTTTGTAGTACGAGTCTGAACGAAAAATTTATCATAAAAATTGAATAGAATGTTGTGAGATATCCGAGAACATATCTAGTATGCTTTTTTTTTTATTGGACTTTCTTTGCTTCTGTGACTATCTGCTGATCTTAAGGATATTCTGGTAGCATTTTTTAATTTTTGTGATTTATTGGCGATAGGATGTTCAGCTGTAGGTTAATTTCATTGCAGATAGATCTAATGTGTCGATAGTATTTGTTCCTTTTTCACTCTGTCCATCCTTTTTACAAAGACTGACATATGAAGATTTTATCTTGGGTTTGCTGTAGGCTCTATATATCAGGATCTTCTGTTTTATTCTCAGTAGAAGTGATTGACATCTAGGGTCTAGATTTTATTGTAGATTTTTTGTAAGATTTTATTCTTTCTTTTTTCTAGTCTGTACTTCTTAATGAATTATGCTTCACTCTAGTATTTGTCTCATGAAGAGCTCTCTTTTTGTTCTTTTTTAACTCTACATCCGAAACTATTCCTGACATGTAGATTTGCTTTATCTTATATGGTACTCATATTGTATTCATCCTTAATCTGCACCGTCTTATACTGATGTTCATATTGACACACTGTTTTACACTTCAGTCTTTATTTTTTTCTGATCTTGTGTAGATTCTATTCGTCCTTTTCTCATTCCATCTTTTTCCTGATTAATACCTAGCACTGCGTAGCTGCAGACTGTGTTTCTGGGGAAGTGTTTTGTTGGAGGCCCGGAGATGGATTGTGTGACATTTCCTTTATGCAGGGAAGGCTGGCTGATAAACGCTCTAGGTTTTGTGAGGGGACCTGAAGTCCTGGCACAGATCTGATAGATAAGCTCCCTTGACTCATACTAATGACTCTAAGGATCAAGGAAACACCCCTCCCTGGGATATCATTCTTGTCATCCTTGAATGCCAACAGTAGACCCAGCCATTCGAGATCTGGGTCATGCCTACTTTGGATAATATGTAGGGGTGAAAGGGTTGAATGCTTAAAAGGGCTTCTGACCAGAGCAATAGCTGGAGGGCAAGTAGCATTGACCAACAGGCCAACCTGTGGCCCCTGTTCAGCTGGACATTGGTCATATTGAAGGAGTGGGTATTGACCACAGTCATCTGTATAAACTAACAATGCCATGCCCCCAGGTTCACATGCCAGCACAAAAGATAGGCAACTCAGCCTTGCTTCAAGATCCCCTCCCTGGGCACAATGGCCATACAATGCAGGCTTAAAATAAATTTGAATTTAAATTGCAGTCATGAACCAGGAGAATAAACGAGAGAAGCCCTTCTATACAGTGTACACACATGTATTTGTAGAATGAGGTCACCAGGCAAAACATTAGAAGACATGAAAACACCATGGGAATTTTTTCCTCCAGTCTGCTGGGCCCACACAATCTTCTTAACAAACCTAGCCCCAGCGACAAAGGGGTTACTACTGTATATAATATATACAAACACAATCCCCAACAACCAAAAGATAGTGGGACCAGAGATGTGAATTAAAACTCCAGCATAGCTGTAGCTGTCCTATATATTAAATACAGAGGCTTGCTTTAAAATAAACGGCTCAATGAAATTGAAGTTGTGTATGACTTATGAAAACGTTACGTGAAATAGCACACACACATATTAGATTCTCTGATTATGAACACCGTACTACTTTGTGCACACTATCCTCATTGCTGCACAAATTCTAGATATTTGAAATAAGAATTGACTTTTAAACATGAAATTTGTACCTTTGAACAGAACATTGTATGCATGAAAGCTTGTGCAGATTTGATGCATAGCCATGGAGTCTAATATATATATGTATGTATACCTATATCAAAGGCAAAGTTTAAATCAGTTCAGATGTTGTTTACAAAACTGTTAATAAATATACACATACTGCAACAATACTGGAATGTAAATTTCATGTATATGTATATACAAAATTTAAACAAAATTTTACGGGAAAAAGAAAAAAGTTTTCCAGGAGGGTAAGAGATTTAAATTGTTTTCTTTTTATTTGACTGGAAAACAAAATATGCAAGTTATTTATTTGACTGGAAAACAAAATATGCAAGTTATTTATTTGACTGGAAAACAAAATATGCGAGTTATTTGGGAAAACGATGTGAATGACTCTGCAGGGTTGTGAAGTGATTAATCCAAGCCAGTGGTCCCTCATTGTCCAGATCAATGCTGAAGCGTAATCATGTGTGGTTTTGTCCTCTATGTCCAAATCTGATGGTGAAGTACAAAGGAAAGCCTACCTTACGTTTACCGTACAAGTTACCTATAAATTGGTCTGAGTGAATCATGTATCAGGAATTTAAAGTACCTCAAACAACAAAAACAAAGAAAAAGCTAGCTGATTTCTGTGATCCCGTTTAAAGCTTAGCTAGAAACCTTGCAGAAGCATTAAAGAATTACCAATAGAATTCGGAGGTTATGTGGAAAAACTGTACTTACGGTTTTTAAAAGATTTTGTATGCCTACAGTATGTGTATGATATTTACTGGTGTCGGTGTTTGTTAGAAGTGAAGGAAACGTGAGTACAGTCATATGTTTGAGTTTTGAATTATGTTGGTACTTGTATCTACGAAGATATGGCACATAATTAGCATACCTCTGGCCTAGTATCAGGACTAGGGTGTTCATATGGAACAAAGCATTCATATAAACACATACACGGAAGGCAGATTAGAGAAAATTTAACTAAAGAAAAGGGAACAAACAAGATATTCAGAGAGTAGCAAAATGAAAATTTCATCAAAGGACAAAGAATTTGGGCAAATATGATAGATAGAAGATAGAAAATAGACAATTAAATTACAGAGGAAGAATTTGGACAAAGAAGATAGATTTAGAGCTTTTTGTTTAGAATTTTATTAACAAGGGAGAATGAATATAATCAGGAGAGATGAGATTTATTGAAAATGGTAGGGAAAAATATGAAGATCGAGTGAAGGTAACAGGGAAAATTATAGTAAAGTTAGAAAATAATATTTACAGAACTGAGCATGAAGGCAATTGAGATTGACTGAAGTAAGCTTGTTGGGAGAAATATTAACAGAACAAAGATTTTGTACAAACAAGATGGGAAGATAAGCTTAGAGCTAAACATCAATATATAGCACACTTGCTACTCGGGGCACTGGTATCTGTGATAGATAGAAGATAGCAGGCTGTGAAATAATGAAATCAACGACATTGTTACGAGAACAAAGACAATTGATTGTCAGGCAGATAGAGAGAGAATGGTAGGGAGGAATACAGTGAAAATGGTAGTGTGTGTTTGTGTGTGTGAGTGTGTGTGGTGGGTTTATAACTTTGGATGCTGGTTCAGCTGTGACTAGGCCTACAATCAATACAAGAGACTGATTGAAAACGGAAGCATATAATGGCTTGCTTGTACAACTTTCAGAGTGAGAGCCCAAGTCGAAAGCGACGGAAAACCTCGGGAAGTTACATTGATTTGACCAACTCTCCGAGTCCACCCCCTTCACAGAACAGGGAAACGCTGACGGAGAGCACCAGGATTGGCGGAGTGAGACGCAGAGCTGCAAGCCTACGTAGGACGTCCTCTGATCGCAGTAACACACCGAGGGCTCGTAGAAGGTCAGTATCAGAAATCTGTTTTACATGTCGTTATATGACGCGCTTACGCACACATGCAAACACGCACATATACACCCATTTCTACCTACAGTTTTGAATGCATGTATATTAGTAAACAGAAGGTTTGAAGGTTGAATACACAAACACAGGCAGCACCAGCAGGTAGGAAATCCAATGTTTGTATACAGTCTGTTTTAGTGGAGGAACATGAATTATACAAAGATATACATACTCTGTTTGGGAAACGTCTAGCTTGGCTGTAAACCAAATATAACTAATATTCCTAGAAGTTCAAAGTGGAAACTAGTGTTCATCAGTGTAGATAAGTTCATAGCGTCGTCCTAATGGATTTTTTTTCTTGTACAGGATTGATTTTCTTCTTGTTAACTGTTTCTAACTCTGGGGACCTAATCTTTGACTTTGTTTCTGGTTTTGTGAATAGAAAGACTGATATTCCTGCCTCAGGTTCACAAAAGTATTTTCTGGCCTTGTGAACAACCTGAATGACTGATCCCACCTCAGCTTCAGGGGGTTATTTTGCTGCCTTGAAAATAATCTGAATCTTTAGTGATCCCACACCAGGTTCACAAGATTATTTCAGCCCGATCGCAGTGACTAGTGATCGACCTCAGGTTCACAAAATTATATTATGGCCTTGAGAACAATCTGAATGTTTGGTGATCCTACCTCAGATTCACAAGATTATATCCTGGCGTTGAGATCTGAATGTTTGGTGATCCTACCTCAGATTCACAAGATTATATCCTGGCGTTGAGATCTGAATGTTTGGTGATCCTACTTCAGGTTTACAAGATTTCATTCTGGCTTTTAGAACGATCTTAGGTACTAACAGGACCTGACCTTAGGATCACAATTAATTTTTTTCTCTTCTTTGTAAACTCATGGTTCTAACAACGCTGATGAAATAATAGTTCACAAGATTTACATTTCTGTCCTTGTGAACAATCTGAGAAATCTTGCATCAAATTCACAAGGTAATGTTCTGTCGTTGTAAACAACTTGAAAAACTTGTGACCTCATGTTAGGTTCACTAGGTAAAAGTGTCCTTTTGAACAAGTTGAGAGACTGGTGACCTTCCATCAGGTTCAACGGTAAAGTTCTGTCCTTGTGAACAACTTGAGAAGTATGGTGACATCTCATCTGATACAAACATGAAATATAGTGCTGGTGGGTTTCATGAGTAAGATTTATTCACAAGATAAAGTGCCAACCAAACTCCTGCATTGATAACTTGTAGTACCTAACTCTCTTTATTGTTCTTTTGGACTACTGTGACAATGACTCGCAGGTTCCCTATCGGTAAACATCAGAAATGGCGCTTTTCCCAAAGCTAGGTTCATCACTTGTCGCAATTGTCTGAGGTAGAAAAGCTGCCTAATACTAAAACCTAATTTACTCCGCAAGAACTAATTATCATCTTTGGCGTAAAAAGGAATTCTCAGTTTCTGGTGTTAATGAGTTCCGATATTACAGATGCGAGTGAAGGTGGATATTGTCAACAGTTAACAGTGGCTTGATGTCTCCTTAGTTATGCCAGCATTATTTATTACAAGTTGATAACATTGATGCCATTTTCTTGAATTGCAAAGTCAAATGTTAATGTAGTTCAACAAGAAAAATAACAAGACCGAAATTTCCAGAAACCTTTAAATAATTTTGATGAATTTTCATTTAATTGATCTGTTTCTAAGAAGTTGCAGACTATCTAAGAATATAGCATACCTAAATAGTTAGTGCCTTAAATTTAGAATTTCAATTTTGGAATAAACTTTTTGATTGTAAAGGAAATAAAGTGGCCTAATATTGGAGGATAGAATTGACTTTCTTTTTTTCTGAGAACATAATTGATGACTAGAAATATAGAAATAAAAGATAGGAATCAAAATGTTTCAGAGATATAATTGATAAATTCATATCTGAACTGAAATATCAAAATAAATCATAAATACATCTGTCAAATCTTGTCAGTTTCATCAATAAAAGTTGACTGGTTCTGTAAATTAAGTTTATAAATTTGTTACAAACAATGCAGATGTACAAATTTGATAAAAAGTATATTACGTGGTAGATAGTGTTTCCAAGTTATAAATAGAGTATCCAGACATCAGGTCATGGTATACAATCAAATATGAAGAAAGTGACAAAAAGAATAAAGTTAATTGTTTGTAAGGATATATTTACATGGGTCAGGGTCAGGTTGGTGCTTTTACTTATATTAAGGCAAACAGTTTCAAAGATTGAAGTGCCATATTTGCCAGTAAACCCATGCCTGGTAATAAGCCCACCCATATCTATTGCTGTTCAGTAGAATAACACAGAAACATGTTTTTTAATTGACCTTCAATAAGACTAAGAAATGAGACTAGTTTCAGAAAAAAAGGTATGTACATTAACTACATGCTGTCATGAGTTCTTTTCATTGGCTCTCAAATTTAAGTGGGTATGGGCTGTTTTCATCATAGTCTAAATAAACTACAGTAACTTAACCATTGTGATGTCACAAGAGGATGAACTCATCAGTTGACCTCTACAGTTCATTGTGGATGATGTCATCAATACTTGTGATGATGTCATAATGTAATTGTCGCAGCTGAATGTGTCTTATGTAGGTTGCTTAGCAACAAAACAAGCATGCACTTTGGCATATCTTTTTTCTTCACACCTTCACTTCAGTGACTGTTAGTGAACAGGGAAATGAAATGGCAGGTAATTGGAATGTTAGGACTTCTGTTGTGCATCATGTTGGCCCTGTACCAGTGGCTATACCAGTTATCTCTGGAAGTCCTTTGGTCATGGAGATGATGCCCAGAAACTTTGTGTCAGTGGGGCGACAAGTTCTGATGTTTCGTGAAGCAGGCATTGATGGCTGTGCACTAGAAGTTTGTCCTGGAGAATTTCTCTTTATACCGCAACATGGAGTTCCACACCAACAGCCAGATCTGGAAGTCCAACAAACCTCTCTGATCAGTTCAATTCCGGTTTTTCATACAATGGATTCTCAGCAACAGCAGCATAATCCTTTGTCTACACTGCAACATCATCCTGTGATGGCAGAATATCCTGAAAGACAGGATGTACCTTCATTAGCGTCATTCCATGGTGATGGACGATTCCATCCCTACTTCAATGGAAACATTCAACACCGACCAGTGAATCCAAATCCAAGACAGTTTATGCAGGAGTCATTTGGGAATCCTGTACTACCAAACAACTGCTCACAAAGTTATGCATGTAGTGAATATGAAAATTCATCATTACAGGCTATTCCCACCCAAGTGGGCCACAGGCAGGGTCATGTGACCAATCAGCAACAAAATATGGTTGGTCAATCTGTATTGTTGCCATCAGAAAACTTGAGGAGGGGAATGGACAATCTCTTCCACCCAGAAGCAAATCAGGGTCATGGATCTTGCCATGTTTATCAGCAAGAACAGGGTGTGGGGGATCTACATGGGAGTGAATGTGATCCTAGTTACCTTGTTCAGAGATTTGGGAACCACATGAATGCACAAACAGCTGAAAGAGGTCAATGCACCTCTTTAGATGTTAGTGTTGGGGCTTTATATACAAGACATGAAAGGACAATTGACAACAGAACTGATGGATACAGACCTTCACATGTTCCTTCAAATCAAGATTCAATTTACACTGGACATCCAGTTAACCATGGAACTTGGCCTCCAAGCCAACCAATAGCACCATCAACGTCATTACTAGACCAAAGCATGCACCATAGCATGACCTCACCAGGTGTTGGCATGGATTGTTATAGACCAGACATGTCTCCAGAGCTACTTTCACATGATCATGGCATGTTTAACAGCTTTTTGTACAGAAGGGTCCAGACAGATCAAAATCCAAATGCCATAAACAATGGTGAAGGAACTGAAACTAGTACACAAAACAACAGATATAGAGGTCATGTAGAATATCAAAGGGAGACAATGTCTGTCTTCAATCAAGGTGAAAGTTCACAGCATCATCCTACTTCACCGGATGTGGATGAAGTGGAATCCTCCGATGATTCATTATACACAGTCTATGAACGAAATACCATGGATTTTGATGTTACAATGGAAGAACCTATTCCTCCAACTTCAGTACATAGACATAATGTACAAGATATTGGAAATCTGGAGACTAGAGATAATTCAACACTAAATGTATCCACCTTGTGGAGTCGGGCATTTAGATGGGTGTGCTGGGTGGCAGGTAGCATCATCTCTCTTGAGGGCATTCATCGACGAGACGATGATGCTGTTAGGGAAAGCATGAACAGAGATGTTGCTTTGGAAAGAATGACTAGGGAAGTTGTTGCTAGGGAGAGGATGACCACAGATGATGTTGCTAGTGACAGGATGACCAGAGCTGGTGTTGCCAGAGAAAGGATGACTCTGGATAATGATGCTAGAGAGAGGATGACCAGTAGTGATGTTGCTAGGGGGAGGATGACCACAGATGATGTTGCTAGTGACAGGATGACCAGGGCTGGTGTTGCCAGAGAAAGGATGACTCTGGATAATGATGCTAGAGAGAGGATGACCAGTAGTGATGTTGCTAGGGAGAGATTGACTAGCAATGATGATACAGGAGGACAAATGACCAACAATGATGGTGCTGGTCCAAGAAATTCGCAGGATGATAGACCCATGGTTCCCCAAGTAGTGGCCCAGTCCCTACGTATACTTTTCCGCCAGCTTCGAGCACGCTTTTATGAGGAGTGTCACCACTGGGCCTACCTAGAGTTGACCATGAGGGAGGAGTATCATGACCTCATTACCTTATTGGACACAATCGCTCGGATGGTCGACCAGTCATTATACAGAGTGACACACACAATGTTGCAAGGCTTCATGACTGGAGCAGCTGCATCCCAGGCTGGTCGCTACCATCACATCGCACAGATTCTTCAAGAAGTTGAAGGAACCAGAGAGATAAGTTTCCGAGAAGCCAGCCTGTTGAGGATACAGTCATGTTTGATAAACCAACAGCTGTCTCCCAATCGTCTGTTACGAAAGTTCTGTGTTGTAATTCGTCACACAGCCAGGACTATGATTATACAGAGGCTTCAACCTTGTCCAACTTTTCCTCTAGGGTAATGCCAAATGAAATCATCATGGATATGCAAATACTTCCATAGTCTTTATGATAAGGGCTAGTCAATAATTTCTTAATTAAGCTTTACATCACCTCATTACAACAGACCAAAGTAAGCCATTTCTATCTTTGCTCCTTTCAAACCTGCTCATATAATTATGTTAGCAATATTTATATATATGGGTAACATAAGGTATGAAACATAAACAAGAGGTAGTTTTGGTTTTAAAATTAAACTGTCAAATGGCATTTGTGGTCACTATGAATGACGGTTTTGCAGCAAACATACTTTCCATGTGGCATGTTTGTCAGCTTTGCTTTGTCATTTATAATGGCTATAAATGTCACAACACAGTTCATAGTGCTGTTTTTTGTAATTTGTAATCACTCTTAACATAAATGATTGATTTTTTATAAAAAGTGTAACTTGCAGCCATTTTGATGGTATACAGTCACTGTCTCTTTCAAGACCATGATGACGTGATCACAGTCACATGATAGTAATGTATTGATATTGCCATTGTAAATATAAACATTAGATAGCATCATATCCAGTCCTATCAAAAATAAAAGTGATACATCAAATGACAACGAACATACAAACAATCTACAAGCTTAAACCCTTGTTGATAAGTGGCCAGTAAATGACAAAAAACAAATCCATAGTTTCAATATTGATTTTTCCAAAAGGATTTGTTGACAGTATTTTTACAAATATTATTTGGAACAATAGCATTTGAAGTATTGTTTGGCATACTAAACTTTAATGGTTTCTTTTAATGACAATTTTAATTGCTTTTGTAATACACTCATTACTTTGTTTTAATGGGCACTGGTAATAGATGGTGACCTTTGGGTTGTGATATTTTTGAGTGTTGCTGAAATAGTAGTAATTAGTAAAAAATTGTGACAGATCGTTAAGCAGGAGCGTGTCTTTTATTATTCTGATAGAGTCATTAATTACCATATTTAAGATTAAAAAGTTTTTATTTGATATCCTCTGTTGTCAAATTGCTGAAAATGTTGTGGCTGTGTTCCCTTCTGCTCACCTGATTTGGATCAGTCTGGACTATTCCATGCTGTTTCAACATCACACTAAGTGAGGTTTGTGTGGTACTGATAGCCTTGTTGTTTGTTTGGTTCCTCTTTGCTTTTTTACAGCAGATCAAGCTTCTAGGAATTCTACACATAGTTTTGATTCAGTCAAGAATGATTATTAAAGAGCAGCCAAGTAATTTCACATCAGAATGATCCCTTGCTGTTTGATTAGAGTTGATTAGAGTTGTGTGATCAGAATGTTTGTGTTATTGGAGTTGTTGTGTGATCTTGATTTTCAAACTCATTATGTTTCCAAGCTGGAGAAATCAAATTTTGTCACATCTTCAGTATCTGTTCCTTGACATTTCAGTCCGGGAACGAGACGGCGCACAAGAGAGAGAAACATTTTACGTCACAATGAGGGTTCCCCAGAGAGGCGCGCGTTCCAGCCCCCAAACATGATGGGTCACCAGATCCACCCAGCAGCCCTTCCCCCGCACCACCAGACAGTTCAGCAGCCCGTTCTGATGGATGTGGAGCGGGTAAGTGCCCCCATGTCTGTTCATTAGTGACATTGACAAGTTGTAGTAGAAGTGGAGCCAAATTGTATGTACATGTATATAAAATATAAGGATGTATATACTTGGTTGTTAAGAGTTTAGATGGATGTGAACATTCTCAGAAAATTTATGTTTTTGTTAATATTGATGATTCCAAAATTATTGGTTTTTTTTCTTACTTTATTTTTTTATTATTGTCTCAGTATTCATTTGTATCAGTAAGGAAATTATTGATCATACGCCTCATTTCTTTTCATATATGTTGATAATTGGCTAATTCTTGTTCTTCTTGTCAGATATCTCTTGCTTTTGACATCATTTTATACAGTTGTAAAACAGTACAAGATATGGTGATTTTCTTTCAAAAAGGTGCCTGTGTCGGCTCCGGTGACCATGGCTCCTTATGGAATCCCTGTATGTACTGGCCCTCACCAGATCACAATGTGCACGGCTGCGGGTCACCTACCTGTATGTAACAGCCAGCCAACATGGTCCATCCCCGCCTGTAATGTCCAGATCCCTGCATCCTGTGGGGTGCAGCAGATCCCATCTTGTAACATACAACAAATCCCCATCCATCCAGGCTCGATACCACCCATGTTTCAACCTCCTCACTCCAGCAGTCATATACCTCAGCATCAGTTGGCCTCACGACCACCACAGTTCACCGGCTCCACCCATCAGGTAAGGCCAACAGCATTTTCAACATTGTTAAAATATTTTGAAATGTTTCAACATTCATGTTTGATCTTGAAACCAATTTTACGGATTCATACCTCTGTTCTGTAATCAAATTTTGTAAAATATTAGTTTTCTTTATTTTTAGTTTGATGTAAAAATTCAGTTTTATTTTAAAAAAGTCATTAGAAATGAAAGTAAATTGAACTCTTATTGAACAACACCTAACTCCTCCTCTCCCCCCCCCCCTTTTTTTTTTTTCAACAGTTAAGACCTCAATCTCCAATAATAAATGTTTTCTGAATTTATTGAATAACGCATGTCTATTACAGCGTCACGAGGAGGAAGTCCAATTAATATCAGATCACCGCCATGCCTATCCCCTTCAAGCAGCTCTACACCAGCACCACCCTGGGGCCACAGCCTTCACAGCCACACCTCCAGTCCTCCTACAGGAGCCCATGGTCCACCCCTCCCCTCAAGACATCTACGTAAGTACACCAACTACATATTAGAAGAGAAATTGGACAACCCAACCAATAGCACCAACTGTTTGTCATAGCAATACTCAACCTTCCTAACAAACCATATCCTTTATCTCTGAAAATTTTCAAAATGATGTGTACTTTAACCTAGAATTTGATCCACATCCACTTGCAAATGGGTGTTATAAATATTTGATCAACTGGATCAGTAACATCATTTTAGTTCATAATGCTTGAAACTTTGAAATAAACTACTGCATATTTTGCATATTTTGTCAATCCTTGTTATTTTTATATGTAGGCATGCTGCTAGCTAAAAGTTGTGCTCAATTTATTCTACTATGTTACAGGGACCGTTTCACAGATACTATGCACGCCATCGTACAGCTGGCCGCAATGGTAGATTACGCTCCATACCTCCACCTCCACCACCCTACCCAGGATTCCTGCTACACTTCCTGTAAGTATTACACTTCCTGTTTAGGCAATTCATCTAGAAGTCATACTTAAATTTTGGTATTGTGTCATAGCACAAGAAAGGATTCAAAATTAGAATTACGAACCTTAATGAAAATTTTTGTGAATATTTCAGTGCCATGTTGGGTAATCCACCATTGCCAAGATTTGGACGGGATTTCCGAGAAGATGCAACAGAGGTAGAAAATTATGAGGCATTATTAAATCTTGCGGAGAGATTAGGAGACGCAAAGCCCAAGGGGCTGACTAAACTTGAAATAGATCAGCTGCCCGCCTACAGATTTAATAAGGAGACGCACCACTCAGGCATGGATCAGACTTCCTGTGTCGTGTGCATGTGTGATTTTGAGAATCGCCAGCTCCTCCGTGTATTACCATGCAGTCATGAATTCCATACCAAATGTGTGGATAAGTGGCTTAAGGTATGTTTTCCATTTGCTTCGGTAAAATTTCAAGATTTTCAATTCAATTCTTTTAAACTTATTTTGAAATTGAAATTCTGCATTTGAAAAAGAAAAGAAATGCCTGCCAACAAAGCACTTACAACATAACTATTTAACTTCCCTTTTCATTTTTTCAGACAAACAGAACCTGTCCTATTTGTCGTGCAGATGCAGCGGAGGTAGCTAGCCAATCAGATTAGGTGTTAAGATATTAAAGTCAAGCAGGCTGACCTGGCTGTTCCACCTACTAATCACTAAGTTTGGCTGTTACATCTATCGAGAACACTTGTCAAAAGCTGATATAGGACACCCAGGTGGCCGAAGGAGCAGACAGCTGCGTCAACTTGTCATTGATCCAAGCGGCAGGAAAAGAAAATATGTCCGAGAAACACAAGGATAGGAAAAGTCACTGCTAGTGTGATGAAAGAAACATTTTTTCAAAAATGGAATGACAGCAATATGAATGGACTGTTCACTGCAGCATTTGAATTCACTTGAAGGATGTTTTAGCAGACATGGCATGTTTCCCCTCTTCCCTTTCTTTTTGCAAGTGACTATAGTTAATATTGTAAAATGGTGCATTACAAATATTGAACAATTTACACAGACTATAATGGTGACCAAGGTTGAATTGTTTAAGAAATATTAACAATGATTGTGTGCATTTCCCCCCAACCTCGTCATCAGTAACAAGTTGTATTTTGATTGAGTTTTTAAATGTTACTCAATTGTTGCATGATGTTTTTTGTTATTATTATTATTTTTTCGTTTGTTTATGTTTATACCCAAGTAAGTAACCCAATCTCAGTGTTTTATTAAGTAACTGTTACCATCAAGTCCCAGTAGATTTGTGGCCATACACAACAGCGGTAAACCAAAACAAAAAGGATGGTGGAGAAAGAGATGGAAAGGTTTAAAATTTTAGGAAATGTGACCATATATTGACAAAGAATACCTTATCAAATCCATATTAGGACAATCAGTGTAATTGTTGCCATAAATGGAGATGTATTTGTTGTTATAATCATATATGGGCATACATTACCGGTATTGTCAACCATATATGGCCTTGAATTTAGTGATGAGCAGGCATTGATGTGGTAATATCTTTCACTCTTTTCAAGGAGAGTTATGGAAGCCTGGGTAGATCAGCTTTATGTGAAAATGTGATTTATTCTGATTAGAATTATAAAAGCTATATTTTTGACACGTATGAATTTCAGTTTTAATTTAGAGGAAAAGATTTGGTTTAAGTAAATGTGAAAAAATTCCATTCTTTGCAGTAATCTCTAAAAAAATAATAAAAAAAAAACCCAACACATTTTGGAATTGTTTGTGGAATACCATTGTCTGTATGACAGATTTACTGCATTGTAAAATCTGGGCTCCTATAGAGGAGAAAATTATGAAATGACCGCTGAAGGTGGCCAGTTTACCGACATGCATGATTACTGATGGCCACAGACCATTAGCTGTAGGAGTTGGTTTATTTGTATCTACCTATAGACACTTGGTATATTATTTGTATATTTCAGTGTTTTTGTCGCCTTTTTCTGTATGACATGAACCGTCTTCCTGTTTTGTAATCCAGCATGTACTCGTTCATTTCTGTCTCAGACATTGCTTACCCCTGATTGTGCTTTAATAATTCCCAGCAATTACATCTTAAGGATGTTAAATATAGACCATTATTTTACGGGTGACTCTTTAAAAAAGAGAAAAATAACCTTACAACTTAAAATTGTGAAAAATTTATATTGAACTATTTATTTCATGTCATTAAGTATCAAGAGATAAAGGGATAGCAAAAAGAAAATGTTTTTTTTTTAAAGTAATCATTAAACTGTCATCATTTTACCCTACTTTAAAACTTTTGATGGCCAATAATAAAAAAAAATAAATTGGATCTGTTTTTACAAATAATTTTTGCAAATTGTAATAATCGACGTGATTAATCTGACTTATAATTGATGTTTTGTCTAATGGGACTATTCAACTTTTATACCTCTCATGCCATCCTGGTCACCTCTAAATTTCCATAATAGAATGTTCTTGCTATTTGAAATGGAACAGTCTATTTCCATCAGAGGGGGTCTCCAGGATACATATTAACATTTATATTATTTGTAGTATGCTAAATGCAGTAGTGTGAAATATTATACTTGTGTTTGTAACATTTGGAAATTTGCTTTTTCCGTTCCCCAAGTACTTGTATAAAGTTTGAACATTGTAAGAATATCTGATTAAAATCGTACACACATATTTTAAAAGTATACATGTATAAACTTAAAAAAAGTAGACATTTCATCAAAGTTTGACATGAATATTGTTCCGAGTGTTTCAGGGAATTCGTTATCAGAATTATTCTTACAGAATTTTCTGTCTGGAGTAAAAATCAATTAGTAATTGGATGTGAAAATTTTGTTTGAAAAAACCAAAACCTTTGAAGAAGTATTTCTCCAGGATATAAACCTATCAGTATTATGGAATATAACTCATTCAAAATTGACAAATATGAAATGTGCACAAAAACAATATTGAGGAGAAATATCACATTAGGCTTAGCAATTGCAGGATGAAAGTGGCTATTGAGAGAACTAAGTTTATATATAACAACTACTTAACAATGAAGTCTTTCCCATCCCTCTCCCTCATTCCCACCCCGTAGCCCAGTCCTTTAAAGAATTCATCTTCATATGGCAGACTTCTTGATGCATGTTTTTTTTTTGAAATTGTAAAACTCTTACTGAATTACAGAATATTTTTGCAGTCTTTAACCAAAAAGAAGATGAAAAAATAACTATAAAATGTTTTGTCATTTAAAAGATGAAGTTTGGATCAGATGGGCTCCAGGGTTGTTTTTAGCAACACTACATAGAGTGACCTCCCTTTGTTGTTTATCGTTCCCTGTTTTCTGTCTGCCATTATTTGGTATAAAGGGCTATATATTTACCATTGTTTAGACTTGCTAACCTCATCAATGGCACTATGTTATTACTGAGACAACAATTTACATTATTAGAACTACAAATTTCTGTCGATTCTGTTCACCATAACTGAAAATTCAAAATTGTACAGCAATGAGAAATTTACTCATGTCAAATGATTGTGATGGCATAAATTTGGTAAACATTTCAAGGTTTGTCAATGTGCGCTGCTTATAACCTCTAAACACGTTTTGTGAATTGAAGTTTTTAATTAACCTGTTATAATTCAAGAATAGATGTGAATTGCTGCAGATTGCCATGGTTTCATTTGTTACATCATTGTCACAATTACAATTATATGGTGATGTCATCAATGAAAAACTTCAAATATGTCAGTGTCTTCTATTTGATGTCAGTCAGAGAAAATGTGTTCATCAGTTTTTTCTACAAATTTTATGCATTCTAAAGTTACGACTAGTTGATGAAATTTAAACTGTAAATTGATGACAATTTTAATTTTAAGCTCACGAGATGTTCTTGAAAATGACCAAACAAAAAAAAAGTGGGGGATGGGGGGCCATCTTGGTTTTGATGATAATAATGTAATCAAATATCATTTCTTAACTGTAAGTCCAAAGTCAGTTGATATATATTGTCAAACCTGTTTAGTAATTTATAAGCAACATTATAGAGTTTGGCACATATGGTGGACAGAAGGGTAGACATTTGTGGGGAGGATTGTTTGTTGTTTGTGACTGAGTGCCTGTCGTTGTAACTTTTTTTTTTTTTTTTGGCTTATATTGTTACTACATATACATGTATTATGTTTAGTGAATATTTTGTTTACAAATTTTACAATTTCACATTAGAAAGGTTCTTTTTGCTATATTTAAAAGAATATTGTAAATATCTTGTTTCCTTCATTTAGATTTTCAAAGTTTAAGCTTTGTATAACATTAATCTTGATGATATTTTTTTTTAATTAATTATGTTATTTGCTTGTTAAGTCACAATGCTTAGCAAGTGTGAATTTCAGGGATTTTCAATAGATTCCAGGGCAGAATGATTTGACTGATTTGATTGGATATTATTTGAACGTGTTCCAAAATGTTACCAATCATTCATCAGAATTATATTTATGAGTAAATGAAGCATGATGGCTGGTAGACCATTACAAATTTTTCATTAAAAACTATTTAAGCAAGAAGAAAATTAATGAAAATGATTTTAATTTGATAATAACAAGCCTTTGTTTGATAAATGACATTCAAACAGAAGTTTTGTGGTTGGTAAAAATGAAATGTGTGGGGATTTTTAAGTAGATCAATATTTTACTAGCTTGGTTGTGATAATGGTTATTGCAGTTTGTATCAGGAAAAACACCCTGCCAACAAGCATTTTTATTTCTGCTGTACTCTTGGAGTTACAACAATGCAATATACTGATATCTGTACAAACTGCTCATATGAATATATACTATAATGTAGTTATTTTTCTTCGAGCCTGGACTGACCTGTTTTTTCTCAGTGTAGTAAACAGGGTCAGAAGGCTGCTTTGGTTTAGGGTACAAGTCAGCATTTGCTAGTGAGATATATATTATTGCCAGAGTCTCACTTTAAAAGGACCCAACCTTGTTTGTTAAAGTTGAAGTCAAATTTCAACAGATTTGTCAGTTTCATTCAAAGTACAAGACTGCCATTGAGGTTGGTTTTGGACTGGAATTTTATTTCTTGTAAAATTTAATAATAAAAAAAAAAACAAACCTGTTTCCTACTTTCAGAATACTTTTTTTATTCAATCTGAAAAGAAATTGTCTATTTATTCTTTTCATCACTAACTCTCTGCCATTTTCTTTACCTGTCTAGAAATTGTCAGTTGTTGCCAATTTCTCATTGTTGTTGAAATTATCACATAAATTTTTAGATCACTGACAAAATTGGCAATATGCCAGGTAAAGAAATAGCAAATCCTGTATGTGACAGGCTCACATTAAGTGTTCAGAAACACAATTTGTACTCTTCCTTCTGATTTTTCTGAGAATTTGACAGGGAACAGGTTGTTTTAGCTTCAGAGTAAGGAATGGGGCCATATGTTTCATACATGTATATGTTTTTTTTTGTGTGCACTTTTGAGATTCTCATATTTCATGTACAATTTGTACATGTACTTGTTCCAAAGAATGTGTTTTTGCCCAATGTCAACTCTTCTTCTGCGGAGCTGCAATAACTATCATGATTTTTTTTTCTATCATAATATTTTTTTTCCCATCAAATTGTTCATTTTTCTAATAAGAATAAACATTTTCAGCCATACGAAAGTCACAAGTATCATGTTGAAATTAAATTCATATTGTAAACAAAGTGCTTTGTACACAAAGTGGGCCAGTTTTGATTGACTGGTGCTCTTTATATAGGGTTGACAAAGTGACTGATCTCCGTATATGAAGGGTTGATTCACGGTATATTTTTTAAGCTTGCTGATGATGTTTCTCATGATTTTTCAGTTCCAACACCATGGCAACACTGAAGTCTTCAAACAGCTTCTTTTCTCTGCATAATCTGTATTTTTCAACAGTATTTATCATTGGTAGATCCAGTGAATGTTATGTAACTGTCAAACATAGTTTAAAATTCTTTTGAGTATTTGAACTTGACCCATGTCTCACCCTTTCCATTTTACATGAATTTCATTGTTTCATGCACAAAGATGCACATTTATTTCAACGCCAAGCCAAAATTTTCAAACCCAAATTTTTCTTATTAAACTGTAATCTGATCACCAAACATATAACTCTAGTGTCATGATGAAAGTAGAAAATTAACCATCATTATAATGTTTGCCTTTTTTTCTTGGCCATTTTAATGTTAAATAATAATTAGTTAGAAGCATTGTTTGTTAATTAAGTACTACACAAATTATTCAAGTGTTTTAAAATTTTTGAATTTCATGAAATATGGCGTGTTTTTTTTGGTTTTTTTTTAATTGTTTCTTTCTTCCTGTGTACTCACTTGAGTTCACTCTTGTTTAGTGTTCATGGATACATAAAGATATCATAGATTCACATATTTTGATTCATGTTGCCAATAACAAGACGAATGCATTAGAACTACATCAACTAATCACCCCCACGAGTATCTTGGGGATTACTTTATCTACCTCCTTTGAATAGCTAGGCCAGCGATCTGTAAAATAATTATCATATATTTTGCAAATCTGTCCTGCTTTACATCATCTATAGAAAAAAAATTATATATAATTATAAATTACATATATTATATACGTGTATTATATACCAATTATCGTATATAAGAATTTTGCACACTTTCTATTTTGCAGAAGAGTTTCTAGGGTTTGTGGGTTCAGGATACAATGCACCTCTTCTGTGACCTTAGAATGACCTCTCCCGTGAACTTTGACCTTTAGCACACCCCCTAGCTTTGTTATGACCTTGATTGTTTACAGATATTAACTGTACTCTTGTCCACACCAGACAACTACAGTCGAGCAATAATAAAGTACAGATATCTATATATACGTCTTGTGTTCTCTGTTTCTACAGTGTTTTTTGCACAGACTTTGTCTGTAGTACATCGTCATACTGTATTTATCGTGCTCTAAGCCCATGCCTGGTAATAAGCCCACTATTAAATCTTGCTGTTCTGAGGAGTGAGCAATAAGATATTATTTTATTACCCTGTTTTAAGCTGATCCCTTGACAAAGGTAATGTGTACTGGTTCCTCTGCGCTCTTTGCATTATTGTTATTAAGATGACACATATTAATAGTACCTTTAATTGATGTATGAATTTAACTGCATCATACAACTGTTATGTCCTTCTAGGATTCATAAGTGATTATAACGGCCTCAATTTTGAAGGTAGGAGGCCACTGAGGAAAATCAAAGGTGATTCAAGAAATGTCAA